ATGGATGTCTCCATTTTTGCAACAAAAAGAAAAGATATGGATGTCTCCAGGTCTTATTTGTATAGTTGGAGCCTCGTACTAGCAACCGGTGAAAGAAGAAACAAAGCCTCGGTAAGAACCAACCATCTGTTGAGGCCATGAATCTCACATTATTTATCTTGGCCTCCACATCTTCGACTGGGCAATGAGTCTAAACATATCTTTCTTTGGAGAATTTCGGAAATGGGCCTTAAAACACAAAAGACTTAGAGCAACTTCAACGCGCCAATCCAAACGGACGGCGCTTTTGTTCGCTTTTTGTCCGTTTGAGTCGGCCGCCCACTCGGCGTCCGCCCACTTTTTTATTTGGGCCAGTAGTGCGTTCAACACGCCGACTCATATTTACCGATGTGGCCGGCTGGCCGCCCTTTTTCAACAAATATGCCATCATTTTGCATTATTTCACAAGCAAACATACAAAAAATAGCATAGTTTCACAACCAAATAAAGCATAGTTTCAAAACCAAATCAATTAAGCATAGTTTTACAAGCCGAATAAAAATTAAATTGTCTCAGATACATGTGAAAATAAGATACATCTATTGGTTGCCAACATGGGCCCACATATACTCAACCAAATCATTTTGCAGCTGCATATGAATTTCTCAATCACGCATTTCATAATGAAATTGGATGAACTGTTCAAACATTGCTGCTCCTCCATGCTCAGGCACACCATTCTCACCCTGAAACTGAAACCCTTGATTATAGATATGTTCTGGGTGCTCATCTTCTACGATCATATTATGCATGATCACACAAGCTGTCATCACCTCCCACAGCTTCTTGGTGCTCCAAGTCCTAGCAGGATACCGAACGATGCCCCATCGAGATTGCAAAACACCAAAGGCACGCTCGACGTTCTTCCTAGCACTCTCTTGCTCTTGGGGAAATCTTTTCCTCTTCTCTCTGACAGGGTTGGGGATTGTCTTAACAATAGTGGTCCACTGAGGATAGATACCGTCACCTAGGTAGTATCCTTTGTCATAGCTGTGGTCGTTGATGGTAACATTCACCGGCAGGTTGTTGCCTTCGGCAAGCCATGCAAACACCGGTGAGCGTTGAAGCACATTGATATCATTGTGTGATCTGGCCATGTCAAAAAAAGAGTGCCAGATCCAGAGATCGTGTGAGGCCACGGCCTCAAGTATGACAGTGCAAGCCCTAACATGGCCCTTATACTGCCCTTGCTAAGCAGAAGGGCAGTTCTTCCAATACCGGTGCATGCAGTCTATGCTGACAAGCATCCCTGGCCCTGGGAAGCCCCTGCTGGCATTCATCGCCAACAAGCGGGTTGTATCTTAAGGAGTCGGCTCTCTCAAGTACTCAGGGCCAAACACAGCAATGATGACGTGGGAGGTGACGGCATTGGGGGGAGGTGTGTCGGCACCGGGTACTGGCAGAGGCACCGGAAATGGGCGGCGACGCGGTGGAGGCGAGCGAGGGTTTGCTGTCGATATGGGGTGAGAGAGGATGGCAAATGTGCCACCAACTAGCGGGGGGAGTAGGTGAGCGCGCGCGCGTCCATTTTGTGTCCATGCCGACGCAAATGAGGCTCGAAATTGGGCCGAGAATGGGTCGCAGGCAGACAAAAAACGGACGTGCGTTCGTTAGGGTCGCCACGTTGGACCGATTTTTCTGTCCGCGCCGACCCAAACGGACGTGCGCAGACAAAATTGATCGGTGCGTTGAAGTTGCTCTTATTGTGTCAAGTAGCAAAATAGTGTCAAACTTATGATGAAGTATTGTTTCAATGTGAGTGGACCATGACTTGAACTCCCACGTAGAATAAACCTTTCACAACTATTGAAGATAAGCTGCATTGAATTTGTAACTTGGTGTTCATATATTTCAATTAAGCATCTTGGCGAGCATGCAGCTCCTGACGCTAGCATCCGTGCTGGATGAGCGGTTCCTCATCGGCTGGGCGGCATCTACTTCTACACGGTGGACGCCGGGTCAACGACCCCGGAAACGTAATAGGTGCTTTAGGTGGAAGTGTCTGTGGTTAGATCCGCGCGACAGGTCGGCCCCCTAATGGCCATGGTGATAGTCTTAGGTGGGAATTCATCCCAACCATCTGCCAGCACCTCTCAAGCCTGACATGTGGGCATTCTTTAGAATTATGGGATCATATTAAAGAGGTTTGTGAGAATCTTGAGCTCAGTGATCAAAAGGATACTATTAGATGGACCTTTTACTCTGCTAAATTATATTATAGATACCTGTTTGAGGATGGGGTTAAATTTCCTCAAAATATTCTTTGAAAAGTCAAAATGCCTCCTAGGATTAAAGTCTTTATGTGGTTGGTGCTTGGAAAAGGTGTCTTAACTGAAGATAACCTGATGAGGAGAGGCTGGACTGATAGTAAACATTGTCCTTTTTTATGCAAGGTTAAATCTATTGATCATATTTTCATGCAAAGCTTTATCTCTAGAGTGCTTTGGAACATTTAGAAACATGCTTTCAATTGTTGGATTTGTCGGATACTATACAGGCTTTGTTTGATGTTTGGATTACTAAATTTAATAAACCCGAGAAACATCTTATGATGGTTGGGGTGTCTGCGGTCTTTTGGACCATTTGAAAATGTAGGAACAATATAACTTTTTAAATAACAACAAGATTCCTGACCCTTGTGTGCCTGTCAATATGCAGTATCATACAACATCAACTCTTCAGTGGTTATTTATGTGCCAATAGGAATCCTATGCAAATCCCTCACCCCCGCTGTAAATCTAATTTCATCCTTGGAGTTAAGTTTTTCCATATCAATTTCATCCTATCTCATAGGCTCCAAGACAGTGTCTTAAGGAGTCAGGTATTTCCATACCAATTTCATCCTATCTCACAGGCTCCAAGACAGTGTCTTAAGGAGTCAGGTATTTCCATATCAATTTTATCCTATCTCACAGGCTCCAAAACAGTGTCATAAGAAGTCAGGTACCATGTCATTACAAGCCAGATTGTATGAAGGTTGCCCTTAGACTTACTGTGGAATTCCAAAAATCCACCTCAATCACAACAGCAGTGCCCTTCAAAAAAGCTTGAAATTCTTCAAGTACACCAATTTTGCTTTGTCGAGAAATCTCATAAAAAAGCATTATTTCCATGAAACTTGGCTCTTCATGCCGAATTCCAATCAAACATTGCATTAAACCCTCGGGATAATGTTGTCTCACAGCTGGACGGAGCTCACACTAATAATGGTCATAGGGTTGGCATGTTCAGAGGAAAAAAAACTCCTTTGGTGTTCTGAACCAACAGACATCTAGTCATTTAGCCCATATCTATGTACTTAGCCACTAGCTTGGGTTGCTTGAGTACAGTGTGATCCTCAATTCTGTGAGAATCTTTCTTACAAACCATATAATGCACATTGTCTTTGCAATCTTTAATTCCATGTCCATTTTTTGCACTTGCCACAAGTTAACTCTCTAGGACTGCTTTGTGTAAAACTGACTTTGTAAATAACATGATGCGAAGGCTGGCGATTTAAACCCCTTTTGTAAACAAATATTCCACTCAAAAATATAGTGATACTAGGCCATGAAAGATCCTCACATAGAGTGAGAATGACCTTGCTATAGCATCCTCTTATGGGTTGTTTTAGGCAACTACCTTCCAACAAAACACAAAGAGGGAGAAAGAAAAGCACGAGTATGATATGAATACATGTGCAAATTAGATGGTTGAAAATCTTTTTTTTTTTGTAAAGTTTAGTGTTTGGTCCATGGGGACAGAGAAACACATGAATCCTGATAAACAATAATTTTAAAACTAAGTCCCCACAATAGATAGAAAAACACATGAATCCTAAGAAACATTGTAGATTGAAATTAAACAACATGAAGAGGAAAAACTAAAATGGTATATGTCTCTAAGGACATTGGGTATGCACTTTTGATATAGGAATTCTGACAAGAGGTCTATGTAGATTGTATATATGTTTTTTCTAAATGTTTCTTTATCTTCTGTTTTTCTCCAATTCTTTGAACCAGATGAATGAATAATGTCACAAAAAAATTCCTACATTTTCCTTCACTTTACTGATGAACAAATAGGCTCTTAGGCCCGCAAACAAAAGGCCATTAAGAGTTAGTGGCAATCTGCTGCATGGTGAGAGTATTTTGTACTCCCTCCGTTCCTAAATATAAGTCTTTCTAGATATTTCAACTAGTGACTACATACAGAATAAAATGAGTGAATCTACACTCTAAAATATGTCTATATACATCTGTATGTGGTAGTCCATTTGAAATCTCTAAAAAGACCTACATTTAGGAACGGAGGGAGTACATCCTTTGTCCATAGTTACATGGCGCACACACATTCTAATGCTCAACTTAGATCATGAAATTATCGAATAAAATATATCGTATGCAACAAAAATTATATCATTGGATTCATTTTTACCAATTTTTTCATTGGTATAATTTTATGGCAAATTGCCATTTTGTTTAGTTGTCTTGCAGATTACTCTATATTATTTGTTTTATTGATAGTGAAAATTAAATCACGAAATATGATGACCATATGCAAACAGGGACGAAGGGAGTATTTGGACCCAACACAAAAAGAAGGGGGAACTGGTATTTTGACGTGAATGCGATTAAGTCCTAGTATTACCCCGATAAAGAAAGGTAGAACTTCCAAATTAGGCAAGCCGTGCTTACTATACAACCTTAGGATAAATCCTCCCATCCCCATGCCTTTGGAAGTTTGACCGAGTCCACGTGGCTTTTGTACTTTTCAAACGACCCGACCCCTCTCACCAACTCCCGGTTGCCACATCGACTCGCTTCTCTCCAGCCTCCACATACATACGCGCGCGCGCCCGCCCGCCATCATGGCGGCGGTAGTACGCGCCGGTCAGAGACAGAGTGCAACGGCCATGGACCTTGGAGCCGGCCGCCTCCTAAGATGAGAGGGACGCCCCCCGCACGGTGGTTTCGGTGTCTATGGACTCCGTCTTCGCGCTCGCTGCGGTGCCCCGGGCTATCGTCCTGGAGCGCGCGGCTGCGCGCGTCCCCGGCTGCCTCTATCTCTGCCTCTGGGCGCCGGTGACCGCCCAGCTCCCATCAAGGTTCGTACGTCCTCTCGTGTCGCGCTGCGGCGCCGTTGTCTCCTCGAGTCTTTCCGTCCTCTGCTCTTTACGGCGTAGTTTGTTGTGGTGCTCGCCAGCCATTTATTCTGCTTGGACGCGTGGATCGACGGCGGCGGCGGTGCTCGCGCACGGGCGAGCTTCGAGGCGTACCGGGGAGCGCTCTGCGCCGTCGTAAGCGGGTACGCATTGCAATGTACTCCCTCCGTTCGGAATTACTTGTCTCCGAAATGGATGTATCTAGAACTAGAATACATCTAGATACATCCATTTTCGCGGCAAATAATTCCGAACGGAGGGAGTACAGCTCAGTGCTCAGGTTCTTTGAGACCCATCATTCTCTCTGACGACGGCTGGTCGAACATGCAGGTGCGTGCCCGGGTGGGCGTACAGGGAGGGCCGCGCCTACATGGAGCTACCGGAGCCGGACCTGACGGCGTCGGCTTCGCTGCAGGTGCAGCAGCAGTTCTACCATGTCAGTCAGCGTCTACGAAACTTCTCTTCGTCTTGCAAACTGTCGATTGCGACAGTTCGGTCTGTGTTTGAACTTTGAAGCTGGTGGCTGACCTTTGCTCGTTTGCTCTTTGTTTGTTCCTGCAGGAAACCGGCGCGAAGGTACGTACATGAACGGCGACGCCTCGTTATTTTTACGCATTGCGTCAATGGCGCGTATTCATGGGCTGAGCCGATGATCGCGGCAGATGGCGGTGTTCATGGGATGCGAGAGCGGCGAGGTCGAGATCGGGCTGTCGACTGCATCGGTGGCAGCGGCGGCCGTGGCGGATCACGTGCACCAGTCGTTCCTGGAGGACCTCCTCCAGCTGCCGCCGGCAGGGCTGTCGTCTTCGTCCTCTCCCGTGCCGTCACTCTCGATCGGGAGCCCGGAGTACTCCTCTCTCATTCGCGCAATGGCGACGCCGGTAGCAGCGCCGGGCGAGCCATCCACGCAGCCACCGATGATGCAGGCGTCGCCGCTGCCCGGCTTGCTCGCTCCGATCGCCGAAGCCAACGACTATGCCTTAATGGTGCAGGCAATGCTCGCGGTCGTCCCCTCCTCCGGTATGTCGACCACCTCCACGCCGCCGCTTCCACCGTGTCCACCCTGGCTGGCCAGCCACCGCTCGCAGCGGTCGTCGCCGCGGCGGACGACGGCGTTCAAGCCGTATCGCGCGGCGCTCCCGCCAAGGGCGCGGCCGCGGCCAGGCGCGCCGGGGCAGAGGATGATCAAGACGTGCATCTCCCTCCTGGCAAGCGTGCACATGGCAATGCGCAACCGGCCGGAGCACGCCACGCGGCACCGCGAGGACAGCAGCGCGCCGTCCACCACCAGCCAGCTGCACCACGTGATCTCGGAGCGGCGCCGGCGCGAGCGGCTCAACGACAGCTTCCAGACCCTCAGAGCTCTGCTCCCTCCCGGCTCCAAGGTACGTACGAGTCCAAACAAAAGATCATCTCGCCATGGGTGCAAGATTCACAAATCACAACATCTCATTGCGATCCTTCATTCGTTCTGCAGAAAGACAAGGCCAACGTCCTCGCGAGCACGACGGAGTACATGGCGAAGCTGGTATCCCAGGTGACCCAGCTCCGAGAGAAGAACCTGCAGCTCGAGGCGCAGCTCGGCCTGAACCAAAGTGCAAGCGATGATAACGCCTCGGGGAAGACAGTCGAGGTCGAGGTGACCACCGGGGCGTCGACGTCGACATCGACGGCGCCGAGTCAGCAGCCGCGGGAGGTGGGCGTGCGGGTGACGGTGCGGGCGGAGTGCGACATGTCGGAGGTGCTGGCCTCGCTGCTCGCTCGGCTCAAGGGCACAGGGAGTTTCGCGGTGGTGTCCGTGGAGGCGAGACAGCAGAGCAGCGCGCTTGCACGGGCCAGCCTGACGTTGCGGATGACGGTAAGAGCTTGTACTGCTTCGTTTTCCTCGATCCCATTTGATGAACTCGGCAAAAAAATTAGATGAACTCGGCAAAACCATATGGTCGCATGTTTGCACTAGTGGGTTCAACTAACACTTTAGTTACTCCGATTTCAAATCCAGAGGTTAATCATACTCTGGCAACTTTACTTAAGGGCAGGTTGGTTTTTTTGGGGTTGATAGTGAAAAACTCGACCCATAAATCACACTTATCAAATAGGACGTCTTGGGTTTTGCATAGCCTATAGTGAGCAACTTTGGCTTCTTTTTAAAAAAACTCAAGACAAATATAGTGATATACAGTTTTTAGCTAACAAACTATTTTTGGAATGGAGCTATAACATAAACCATGTATTCTTAAAGATGGGGTATAACAAACCATGTGAAGTGACACACTTCTCGACGGGTGGTTTATGTTGTACTCCACCAAATTTAATCTAGCATTACAGGATTATATTGTTAAGTTCCTATTCAAAAGAAGTCTAGGATGGTATAATTATTTGAAACATACTCCCTTTGGTTTAAAAGGACCCAACTCAAAAATCTCTCCAACTAAGACAGACGATGAGTGGTGGATTGAATTTCATAGTTAGCAAAAAACATTCAATTTGCACGCTTGTTTTGAAAAAAATCGCATTTACTTGCACATTAATTTACATTAACTGCAATGCAAGTGTGCGTGCTAGAATTTTACATGCACCTGTGAGTTTCCTTTTAATCCTTGATCAATTTAATGTGCCACCAAATCTAAAGGAGAGCAAAAATATGGCTAACAAATCTGAAAAGCCAAAAAAATGAATTATGCCGGGGGTACACCACATTTTATTATTCAAATCCTTGGTCAAAGTCAAATTTCAGAAGACACGCGGAGGGAGTATTATTCTCTATTTTCCGGTTTATAAGGCCCACATGTATTCCTAGATTGATTGTTTGACCCATGTGATACAAATTGTATATTACAAAAGCTATTTCATACTCCCTCCGTTCCTAAATATAAGTCTTTGTAGAGATTTCACTATAAACCACATACGAATGTATATAAATGCATTTTAAGTGTAGATTCATCCATTTTACTCCGTATGTAGTCCATCTAGTGGAATCTCTACAAAGACTTATATTTAGGAACGGAGGGAGTACAAAACATAACATTTGAATTTTCTAATGGCATTTAACTATTATGATATGTAACTTGTATTATGCTACTGAAATTATGGATCTAGAAAATGTGTGGCGAAAGAACTCTTCTAGTCTCGAGCTCAAATGAGCTCAGGTGAACAGTAAAATCCAAAATTGTTGAAAACATATCAAAAATATCTAAAAATAATAACGACAAACATTGTCAAAAGTTTTCAACGCTTGCAAAGTTTCATCCTAAAATGCCATTTGTAGAAGCCATGGAAATAAAAAAGAAAACATCATTCCAAAATGCTGTTGAAAATGATATTTTTGGAGCAATGGTTTTGTTTTTTTGGCCACAACTTCTACAAATGTCATATCATGATGAAATTTTTAAAGCGTTGAAAACTTTTGTTAATGTTTGTCACTCTAAAAAAATTCGGATGTCATATCATGATGAAATTTTGAAAGCACTGAAAACTTTGTTAATGTTTGTCACTAAAATTTTTCAGAAATTTTTATTTTTTTCAACGTATTTCGATTTTACTGTTCACCCGAGCTCATATGAGCTTGGGCTAAGAAGCTCCATGTCGGCTTTACAAACCGAAAAGGAGATAGTAATATTTAATTTGGTGTGGAGTTGACTAGCTTTATTGCTCGAGAGGAAGGGAAAATTTAACGTGATTGACCTCAGCGAGACGATGCAAGGAATGGCACTGATAAACCAGTGATTCTCCAATCGGATTCCTCATGTGCTCTAGCCACTCTTTTGGGTGACACTTTATCTAGGTCGGTCTATGCTCATTTAGATGCCGAGATTAAGGCACTTCTGGTTGATAGGGAGTTTGTTCCTGTGAAAATTAGTAGAGATCAAAACAGAGTAGCACATCTTTTGACACATTATAACCGTACCGAGTGTTGTACTGCAGTATGGTTGAGTTCGAGTCCTCCATGTTGTGAGGAGCAACTGACTCAAGATTGTAACCCTGCTTTTGGAAGATTCGAAGAATCTGGACTAGCCGGTGACTACGCTGATGAAAGCTGTACTAGGTCAAGCTAGTTTTCCTGAGAACCGGACATGGGTCAAACTGGCATTAAGTTAATCAGGACGTTTGAATTGGTTTTAGGAGACATAACTCGCTTTTGACCAATTAAGCAAGTATATATAGTTGAATATACTCATACTTGAATGGCACACGTTTCCAAGCTGTTAAGGTCCCATTGCCATGTGGCCACGAATATGACCAAGAAGTTGGATATGTGACCAAGCAAAGCCGTAGAGCCATCGTCCCTCCTTCCTTGAGGCATTCTCTTGTCAACCAGAAGTCGCTTTTCAGTGCTACAAGTAAAATGCCTTTTCAAACTGCGCTGCAGATTGCTAACCACTAACCACTGCCTTTGTTTTAGCCGTATGCGGTGCATGCTTATTTCGGTTAGAAGAAGAAGAAGAAGACGCGTGCTTGATGCAGTCTCATCCGTACAACATCCGTCCTGATTAATTTCTTGACGTTCTTCCCGACACTGACAACGACCAAGTAGGAGTACTTACTATAGACACAACATAGCGATGTAGCAGGCGTTGCAACGACTTGGCATGAGTACTGGATCGTAGTGTAATTTAAACTGGATAATGACGCGGTCAGGGTACTTACTGATGAAGCTTAACAAAATGTCCGCTGCAGGAGGCTGGCGACGTCGTCGACGCGACATGGCTCGAGGAAGCTCTGACGAAGGTTGTCGAGGACGCGGTGATGAAGACGCGCCGCCGGTGCCACCCCCAAGGTCGCCGTAGGTAGGACGTCAGTCAGTATTGACCGTGTCAGGGAGCCCGAGAAGGAGGCAGGAAAATGACTCTGTCTGGTGGCAATGGCGCCCTGTCTGTTTTTTCTTTCTATCGTCTTTTATCCATGTATATTGTTGAGCTTTGGTAGTGTTTGGGTCTAGATTGAAGGCCCCTATTTAGTGTAACGTAGTCTTCAGCTTGATGATAGTTGGTTACTTGTCGTCTATACAAGGCCTAATGTTGCAGTTTTGACATGAGATGGATCGGTTTTCTGAAATTCTCCTTTTTTGCTGGCACCAAAGCTGGGTCAACCTCCTGAACAGTATATGAGCAAGGAAAGGTCTAGGGCTCTAGGCACCGAGGAATTTTATTGGAAAGGAATAGTCTGGCATCAAATTCAAGCACTGGATGATGAAGCTCGGTGGCTCAGTGCCAACGACCAAGATGGTCTCCTGGCAGCTTCAACTATCCGTGTCTTTCCGCCGAGAGCTGTCATCAAAAGAGAAGGAACCAAGTTCCAAGTAGCAGGAATTACAAAACAGATAATAACTGTAAACCATCCAACAAGCCGGCGATGAAAGCCGTCTTGCCAGGAAAGCCGGCGCGACAAAAACATCATACCGTATCTCTTCTTGATAACCTTCAAGATCTATACAGTGCAAACTCTTTAAGCAGTATTTATTGGCTTCCCACGAGAAAATAGGAGTAACTGAAACCCGTACAGTATAGTTTGATGATGGGGATCAACGGGGATCTCCAGGTGTTGTCTCTCTTGTCATCATGGCGCTCTCGGCTTCCCCATTGCGTAATCTTCTGGGAAACAAAGGCCTTATGACAGTATGTACAAGGTGACAAGACTTTTCATGATCCATACATGCTGATATGATAGAACGGCAAACCTCTTCTTACAGACTATACATCCAGTGGATGTGCCCTTCAGGTTGAACACTTGTGGGCGGCAGAGGCTCCTCGTTTATTCTGGCTGGCTACCTAGCTGTATCAAGTCCTTCTGTGAGAGATTGGTAATCGAATCTGCGATCACACGTGCGCTCGACTTCATGTAGCCTCCTGAGAAGGCGGTGGGGCATGAGCAAATCGGTATGTGATTTGCAGGAGAGGAACAAAAAACACAGAATGCAGGAGAAGCCGCTCACCTGATGTCATCATGACAAGTGGAATGTTCTGATCTTTTGCAAATCTGAACACCTTCTCATCTCTGATCACCACACCTTCAGGGCTTATCTAGAATTTGGGGAGAAAGCATGCAGCAGCAGTATAACAGTGGTAACAATAATTAGTGCAGGGAACAGAAGCAAAATAAAGGCAATAATATGCTCTTCATAAGTATTTATTGTTTATTATACTTCTACGCCCAATCATTTTCCAGTTTACTGTTGTGGCATTATGGGCAGAAAAATCTAGCTTAGGTAGAGAATTATTGAACTATACCAAGTCATGTTAATAGGCGTTCATGATTAAGTTCTGTAATCTTTGGGATGATACCACTAGAAAATTATGCAGGTTGCAGCTACATTCTGCACAGGGAGTTACTTATGGATCTGATCTTTGTCAAAATATTGAGTTGATCAGAGAAGTACCTTCAAGTTGCCCAATGGATCACCATCCAGGATGTCTGTCCCAGCATTATAAATAATAAGCTGGGCCTGGAATCTAGTTTGGGCGACCTGCAAACAACATGCCCCAAAAGGAACTCTAAATAGCGTTTGGTAAAAATAATTATATTTAAATTGTGAACAACAAGAATGAATAGTTAAAGGGAAAGTGCCAACTGCTTTGAACTCATCATATATTATTTTCCATTTCAAACCTCCTTTTCAGTTGAACATAGATGCAAATAACTTCATTCAATACTATCGATGCTTTTACATCACATTCTAAAATAGTATATTAAAAGTCACCTCTATGTCCAGTTTAGTATAAGCTTCAGAACATAAATCATGTGATATACTCCCTCCATAACAAACTGTAAGACATTTTGGTATGGAGGTAGTATCATAGAGTACTCTAGTATCATATATGGCACGTAACATAACGTCTTTCACCTATTTGTCCCTAAGAATTGCAGTGCATAGGACAACTTCATTTATAAATGCAATTATTAGCGAGCACCCCATCTATAACAGTGTGAAGGTACCTTCAAAGCCTTGTCAAGCTGATCCAAGTAATCATCTGTTTCTGTCCCACTCTGAAAATGCACAATGGAGTACTCAACTCATATTTGAATTAAATGAAGAAAAATATGATCAACAGCTTGTAAAGTCCAACTTACAACTAACTCGATTTTCTGATCAATATATCGCTTAGCAGCATGATCCTAAAATAAAGTCACATCAGTTCACATAGAACATAAGAAATATTACTAGTACGAAGTAAAACGAAAATGATAATACACAATGACTGAAGTTAAAGCTGGTGACAATAACAACAGACTAATCTTCAAACAGTGGGTGTCATAGATATCATAGCAACACTAAAAATTAATTTAAGTACACAGCTGCGATTACTGTTCTTTTAGTTCTGGTAAATGCCTATTTTGCACCATCTGAACTGGATGGTATCTTCCAGAACATGATGTAGAATATGCATTTATGGGATAGGGAAGAAAACTTATGCTCAACACCAGGACGCAGACAAAAAATTTCTTGATAAATAACCTCTACACCATAAGCAATCCTTAACCACATATTGCATAAGGGTAGTCAGAGCATAACCACCAGCAGCAAAAAATTGACGTTCCGCAGGTGTGACAAGAATTCTAGATTGTGGTTCTTACAAACGGATAAATTCCAGCATTGTACATGTCCAAAATGTAAACCCTTCCTGCAAGTGAAAATTGGCATCACTGTGTCATCGTAGTGAAAACAAAATGCATACAAGAACAAAATATATGACATACCATCATTAGCAAAATCCTTCTCATGACCATTTCCTTGGTGAGCATCCAGATCTATGATCATTACTCTGCAAGTATTTAAAAGGGAATAGGTGCTTATGAAGCTAAAATAGTTAGTAAGCAATGTACACATTTGTTTGCATCCTTGCATTCACTGCTCACACATGTACTAGGTAACCAGCCAAGCAGCATAGGGTGCTTGGTAAGATGCGAACAAGCATAGCAAAATCCCTAGGGAATAAAGCAAGATTGGCATGACAGAGGATGCTTACCAACACAGATATTTGACAGAATATATTTGCAGCCGTCAGGCAAGCACATACATTGTATAAGCCAAACAGATAGTCTGCAGAGATTAAGGAACATAGTTTCTACAGTTACAGTCCAGCCAGTATAGGCTTCTCACCTTGAAATATCCAGACGGACAAACGCAAACTGAATGCAGAGCGAAATATCAGCGTATGCACAAAATCCTCCCCCTTCCTCCGCCGAACAATGGTGAAACCCTCCACCGACATTAATTGCCCATCCTCTCTCAAGCGCAAGTTTAGCTGATAAAATGGACCCACCCACCTATGAAAAAAAGAACTAGCTTACAGAGTTTCCCTGGCAGTGGCACCCAAATTATGCACCTGGTACTTTTCAGTGCAGACGGGAGCACCTAATCACGAGAGATCACCTGTTTCCGGAAGGGGTACAGTAGCCTTTGCTGTACGAGCCAATTAGGCATGAGAGTTAGTGGAGGAACCTGAGATAAAACATCTCGTTTAGCAAACCGCGCCATCGTAATTTGCTACTCCCTCCGTTCACAAATATAATATGTTCTACTCCCTCCGTCCGGAAATACTTGTCATCAAAATGAATAAAAGAGGATGTATCTAGATGTATTTTAGTTCTAGATGTATTTTTTTTTCTGAATCGGATGTATATAGACACGCCTTTAGCGTGTTTGTTCACTCATTTCAGTACGTATGTAGTCTTGTGAACGGAGGGAGTATCAATGAGGCCACCAATTAAACTTCCCCTGAGAAACTAGTACCTCTACAATGGCTGCAACCCTGAAGCTGCTCTTGAGGCTGTTCAAGTATGCCTCCGTGTGAACCTGGCCAAGCAGAGCCATGGAACAAACTTAAAGGGTATCAGACAGTATGAACCAAGTGAAAACAGATTGTTTCCTACCACCAGCAGATCTTCCCTGGAAGCCTCCAATGGCTCCACCACTCGGTTCTTCTCCAGGTGGCCTTCTTTGGTGAGGAACCTGCATATGCGGCCCCATTTGGAGGAATCAAACGGGTGCCTGCACATCACAGGACGCGCGTAAGCCGTGGTCCGATGCACGTCTATGTGGCTAGGCAAACGGTGGAGAAGAGGCGGGAGGCAGAGCAGCTCACATCTTCTCGATGCCGAGGAAGGCGATGTCGTACGCCGTCGAGTAGACCACCGGAGCCTGCCAGGCAATCGCAGCCACGGATTAAGCGGGTGATCGGGGGTGACCGGAGGAGCATCTCATCTCCCCGCCGGATGACTGACCTTGGAGCCCGGCACGTCGAAGTAGAGCTTGCTGGAGATGATACGGTTGCGGCGGAGGGCGTCCGCCGGCGCGGCCCCCGGCACGGAGGCGGCGGCGGACGACGAGGACATCCCGGCCGCCGGCCTGGGCGAGAGGGCTCGGGCGGGGATGGAGAGGGGGGCGGGGATGGTCGCCTCGGTCTCGCGGGCTCGCTCTGGGCTGGGAGTTTGCGTTGTGTTGCCGCTTATTACCTCCCGCGGGGCAGAGGCGCCATGGCGATGGGGCTCGGGAGAATCAGAATCATTCGGTGGCGGGGGCGGTGCTGTACTTTTTGCGAGAGAGTGCTTCTGAAGTTGGACATTTGCATCGCTAGCCCTCCTTCCCTTGCTGCAGGGAATCTCTGGAGTTTGGAGCACACGTATAGAATTTACGCGGAAGAACGGTGGTTGAATGTAAAATATCCACCGCCGTCGAGGGGGGATTCGCTCTCGCTCTCCTCCGCCGCTGCCGCCGCTTCCATGGCGATCTCGAGGCCCCGGAGCCGCGCCGTCCCCTTCATCCCGCTCCTGCTCCTCGTCCTCCTCGTCCCGTTAATCTACTCCGGTACGGCCCTGAGACGCCTTCCACCCCTCGATTCCAGCACACACACACTGCGCGGTCTGCCCTGCTGACGATCCAATCTGGTGTCGCTTCTTGCAGTTTCCAGGCTACGCTTGAGCTGGGCGCAGGAGAGGGAGTTGGGCATGCCTCCTCCTGCTCTGCCGAAGCGCCCCGATCGCCTCGTGCTCGGCCCGGCCGCCGGCCAGGGCCGCCCCGACCGCCTCCAGTGCCAAGGTTTCTCCTCCTCTTAGTTCCGGTTTCTCGCATTGTGACTTGTGATTCTCATATGCACTGTAAGCTCTAACTGCATTGTACCAGTTTGAAGCGACTCCAAGGTTTCTCCTCAAAGGAGATTAGGGAACAAGAATACTGTTATCAATGCTTTGTAAAGATTGTACATGCTGTTCTGAATGTAAAATTGACCAGGGTCTAGGATGTTCTCTATGTGCTTTTTTTTACAGCATGTTCTCTATATGCTTAGTAGTGCCAGTTAGGCTGCAGGATACCACATAAGATAATTCGTACTTCTATAGCGTGAACGGGATCCACATCTGCTGTGTATCCACTAACTACATTTTACCATTTTCTTCAGGACTTAAAGCTGTGAATAAGATAAGTCTATCAAGTGAACCTGGAGAACATGTTTCTTTTGTTACAGTGTTCACAACCTACAGTTCTGACCCAGCTGGGGCTGGCAAACGGTCATCTGATGTTGTAACTGTTGGAAAGCATTTTTATAGCAAGGAGGAAAGGTCCATGGCCATTCTTAATACTTTCATCAGCTTCATACAGGTAGATCTTCCTTTTCCTCTTGTTTGTGCTGGCCACTAACTACTAACTATTAATATAATCAAATATTGTATTATCAAAGTTTGGAATGATTCAAATCACTGTCAGCTAAGAGAATACTGAGAGATAGTTCAATGGTAGTAAAGATAGATAAGAAATTACAGTGAAGACTGTAAAATAGAACATTGATACCACTGTTATTCCCCTCCCCCTTTTTCCACATAGTACTTTTGTTAGCCTTCTGGCATATAATTTGAATCCTTAAAAATTAGAAGGAACACATGATCTTCCTTCATTGACGATTGTGAGGATGTTTGTTTAACGTCTGATCTTATTTCTAGAACTCTGTAGGTGTCAATGCCAAGAAGCGATGTGATAATATTGACTGGTCCTAAATCAAAATTGTCAATAAATCAAGGGAAGGCCTCAATACTGCCAATTGAGGGAAATTATTCTCGAGGCAACCTGATGCTTCAGAGGATCAAGTCCTACATTGTAAGTTTGTATGCTTCATGCAAACATCTTCCTGCATATGCTTTTCCTTTAGTACTACTTGTGTGATCTAGAAATATTACTGTGTTCAACCATCTATGTGCGTTATTTTTTCCAGAAAACTGATATGTTTGTGTTTCTGGTCCATATATAGGACTTTCTAGAGCTAAAACTTGAGGAGGTTGACTGTGTGAACTGTGCTCGTCATTTTGTTTTCACTGATTCTGATATGGCAGTGGTTGAGGATATTGGACATATCTTCACGAGCTATCCTAATTGGCACCTTGCTCTTACATTTCGTAATAACAAAGGCCAACCCTTGAACTCTGGATTTATAGCGGTGAGAGGGACCAGAGATGGCATCTCTAAGTAAGTGAACATCTATGTAACAGATCTTAGGATGAAAACTTGGCATTGCCTTAAATAATTCCTTCATTTGCTTTTAGGGCTATCGAATTCTTCAATGAAGTTCTTAAAGCATACAATCTAAAGTATATGAAGGCGTCCCGCATGCTTGGTGATCAATTAGCACTGGCATGGGTTGTGAAGTCTTATCTATCATCAGCCTTTGGAAAATTTTCTAGGCATGAAACATTTACTGGTGAAGTCAATGGAGCATCTGTTCTGTTTTTGCCTTGTGAAGTTTATAATTGGACTCCACCTGAGGGTGCTGGACAATTTCATGGTATGCCCTTGGATGTTAAGGTACATATTTTTTCCTATTCTAATGCATGTCCTCCTCATGATAGAATTTTAGTTTTGTTTAACCACTAGTTGCACAGTCATGCTATTTTGTAATCAGTACACTGCTTTTTATTGTTGCCACTTGCCACTTGTCAAGTGTTACACTTGCTGATATTTTGGAGCATGTTGTTATATGCGGTATCTTTTTCATTAAATATGATAGCATGCCAAATCTGATATAATGTTCTTAGGTTGTTCATTTCAAAGGTTCAAGAAAGCGTTTGATGCTTGAGGCATGGGATTTCTACAATTCAACCTCTCAATTATCTGATATGTTGTGCCTAATCCTGAAGAGTGGCAGAACAAAATATGACTTCTGAACCTTTTGTTCCACGATGAAGTGACATCTGGTAGTCTCTCTCTCCTTACAGACATCACAGGCTGGTTCGGCATTTTGTGCTTTATTTTCCTTAATCTTAGTTCATTTAACACAATTAATATTAGTCTTTGTTGCTGTATGTGTAATGCTTTATGTATGGCTTATAACGTGTTTACTGGTTTCTACAAAGTGTGCTTTGCTCTAAAACAAGCTTGTCTTCTTTTCGCAGTTGATCCTCATTGAGCTCCAGATATGTATCTATTTGTTGGCACAGGCTCCAACTCTGCAGTTGTGAGCGATTGCAAGAATTCAAGCGCCACATAGCGCAAATAGAGTCATCAGGAACTCAGGTTATGCACAAGGAAAACAGGGTGATCCAGATTGTGCTGAGGGTAGCTCGGGAATATGAGATTGGTGCCACGACTCCCGTGGAAGGTGGACCCATTCATACACGATATTAGCTAGGAGTAGCAGGGTGATCATGTAGGAAATCACCAGTTGTTTTGGTGATGGTTCTTGGTAGCTTTGTCACCCTTCATCACTATTCATGCTGTAACAGTTTCTTGGTTGTGGCTGATGAGGTTACTCGGAATTTTTCGCTTTCAATACAGGCTACGTGCTGTAATAGTTTTCCAAAGAATTTTCAACCAACGAAGCTAGTAATACATTGCAAGAAAGAATAATATAATTGATTTAACCAAAGAATGTGATGACACACTGTAGCTTCGATAAGATCATGCTAACTCCCATGGTAGTAAGACCATACGAAGTTACCAACTCCTTTTCGATGTAATAATGGACATCACTACCTATGACAAGACCATGCGAACTCCTATACTGATACTCATCACTGCATTACTAGGTAGCTATGGTAAGATCATGCTATGTCCCGAAACTCGATGAAGGCGACGACGACGGTGGTGTCGTCCTTCTTCCCTCTGAATTTATTCCGTCCGTGTTCCCGGGCGGCGATGCTGAACGGCGTGTCCTGGGTACGCCTTGCCGCGGCGTAAGCTTGGCTGGCGATGATGTCGGCCATGTTTTTGGGCGTGAAGCTGAGCGCCAGGCCCGACTGCACGATCTTCTCCAGCATCACGTCGAACACGTTGTCGAAGAGCCCGTCGGACGCGACCACCACCACGTCGCCTTCCTCCACGGCGATCTCGCCCACCGCCGCGTCGCTGACCTTGTTGCTCTCCTCGGAGTCGGAGCTGAGCTGGAACGGGCAGTTGAAATAGGATTGCTGCGGCTGCGACCGGTGCAGGATCCGGCCGTCGCGGAACACGGCGAAGCCGCTGTCGCCGACGTACGCCCACCTGAGGGCCCTGCCGGCGAGCGACACGATGACGGCCGTGGACGCAGCCGGCGTGCCAGATGCGACCGTCTGCTGGTACGCCTTCTCCAGCAGCGCGTAGGGGCAGATGCCGCCGGGCGGCGGCGGCGCGGCGGCGGAGGACGCCACGACCTCCGACAGGGCGCTCGCCATGAGCCCGCGCGAGAACGCGGCGGCGTCCACGCCCTCCAAGCGGCATCCCCCGACGCCGTCCGCGACGCCGATGACGCCGGCCACGGCGTGGAAGAAGTGCGCGTCCTCGTCGTGCTCCGGCAGGTAGCACGACGCGGCTCTCATCCTCAGCGCCGCGCCCGTGGGGGGGTTACTCCGCCGCGCGCGCGGCTGCAGCTGCCGCGCCAGGTAGGCGGCGTACCTCGCGACGTCCTCGCGGCCGGCGGCGGCGGAGGGCGGCAGGCTCCCGAGGCGGATGCCCACGGCGATCCGGAGGGCCGCGGGGGTCCGACTGCTGATCTCGCTTAGGGTTTGGCGGATCTGCGGCGGCGCCTCCATTGGCCTCGGTCGAAGTCCTCGATCGATCGGGCTCTTTGGACTTGGATTTCTCCGGCGATCGATCGATCGAGTTGGCGATCTTGGCTTATTTAGTACTACTCGCGATCGATGGCGCGAGGGTTATTGGCTGATTACGCGTTCCGGTTCCAGATCGGGCGCGCGAGCTCTGGCGTTTCTTGGCCGGCGCGCCAGCACTTGCTGCTCCTCTTTGTATTCGAATTCGCGCCGGGGCGGGAGTTGTGGACTTTGCTTTGCCTTCGAGCTGTCGCGCGCAGGCAGAAGTAAATCGTATAGGACTCGGTGCCGATACGGTGTAGGAGTATCGTATACCGTATGATTTTTTTAGGGGATCGTATACCGTATGATGAAGTTCCCTGGCTGGCTCGATACGGTATACGGGTCAATGTTCGGCCTTGTCGGTCCAATCACAAAACTTGTTTCGATTAGAGAACGAGGGTCAATGTTCGGCGTTCTTAGGCTGTTACCAGTGTTGCAGCAGAGACAGACACCCCCGTGGATCGTCTTGGGCGACTTCAATATGTATCGCTTTGCGCATAAGAAATCCCATGGCCACATTAACTCGAACCTCATGGAGATGTTCAATGCTTGGATCATAAAGCATGGGCTGGATGATATCCAGATTGACAATAGGATGTTTACCTCGTCAAATAAGAGATCCTCCCCCACTCTAGTTCGGCTAGATCGTGTCCTGGTGAATGCCGCCTGTAACTTGAGCATTTTGCAGACATCTGCTTCTTGTGTGTCTGCCACTACTTCTGACCACACATCCATCCTAGTGCAGTTTCGTGCAGACATGATCAGAAGCAGGTTGTTCAGGAGGGAGAACCACCCGCTTCAGATGGAGGAGGCCAAAGACATTATCCAAGATTGTTGGTCCCGAGGCACTAGAGCATTTCAATCTTCTGCGCCGCTCATCAACTTTAAGATGAGAAGGGTTAGAGCCGCTCTAAGGCACTAGTGTTGGCGTCAGTCTAGCCTTAAAGTGCTTATTGAGAATAATAAACATGTCGTCAGCTTCGTGAATTATGTTGAAGAAAGGAGACTTTTGCCAACGCTGGAAGTAGTTCTTCGCGAGTTCGCTTCGGCCAGGGCTGAGCAGCTGATACTATGGCAAACTGCTTTGTGGCGTCGATGGGCCAAATTGCGTTGGTGTGTTTGGGGATGAAAACAACCAGTTCTTTCATGCGACTGCCAATTATCAGGCATGTTGTAACAAAGTCAAGGTTCTTGTGCAAGATGGTGTGTAGTACTATCAGAATTGTCAAACGCTCAATTTGGCAACTACATACTTCACTGATATTTTGGGCCAGCCTGCTCTCTCCATGCCAACGGTTCAGCTTAGTGCTTTGTACAGTCCTGCTGATCTCTCTGAGCTGGCCAATGGTTTTTCCTGGGCTGAGATTGTCCGTGCTATTGATATGTCACCAAATAATAGAAGTCCCGGTTCGGATGGGTTTACTAATGAGTTCTACAAGGCCTATAAGCATTTGATAAAAGATGACCTCCTCAAGTTCTTCGAGGACTTCCATGATCGCGTTGCTTTGGATGGTATCAATATTGCTTTCATCACATTGCTCCCTAAGAAAGATACACCTTTGGAGTTGCGGGATTATAGGTCCATCTCATTGGTACATAGTGCACCTAAGTTGGTGTCCAAGGTTTTGGCAAACAGGCTTCAAGGGTGTTGAGGGAGTTCCAGACTAGGGGGTGTCCGGATAGCCGAACTATCATCATCGGCCGGACTCCAAGACTATGAAGATACAAGATTGAAGACTTCGTCCCGTGTCCGGATGAGACTTTCCTTGGCGTGGAAGGCAAGCTTGGCAATACGGATATGTAGATCTCCTACCTTTGTAACCGACTCTGCGTAACCCTAGCCCTCTCCGGTGTCTATATAAACCGGATGGCTTTAGTCCATAGGACGAACAACAATCATACCATAGGCTAGCTTCTAGGGTTTAGCCTCCTTGATCTCGTGGTAGATCTACTCTTGTAACCCACATCATCAATATTAATCAAGCAGGACGTAGAGTTTTACCTCCATCAAGAGGGCCCGAACCTGGGTAAAAACGTCGTGTCCCTCGTTTCCTGTTACCATCCGCCTAGACGCACAGTTCGGGACCCACTACCCGAGATCCTCCGGTTTTGACACCGACATTGGTGCTTTCATTGAGAGTTCCTCTGTGTCGTCACCGATAGGCTCGATGGCTTCTTCGATCATCAACGACGATGCAGTCCAGGGTGAGACCTTCCTCCCCAGACAGATCCTCGTATTCGGCGGCTTCGCACTGCGGGCCAATTCGCTTGGCCAGCTGGAGCAGATCGAAGGCTACGCCCCTGGCCGTCAGGTCAGATTTGGAAGTTTGAACTTCACGGCTGACATCCGCGGGGACTTGATCCTCGACGGATTCGAGCCACAGCCGAGCATGCTGTACTGTCACGATGGGCATGATTTAGCTCTGCAACCGGACAGTACCCTGGAGGCCGCACTCGAACCCGCTCCGATCTTCGACTTGGAGCCGGCTGCGCAGACCAAGGACGGATGGCTAGACACCGCCTCTGGGGCTGCAACCTCTACGGCGATAGAGCCGAACACCGATCTTGTCCCCCATGAAGCCCGTGACTCCGAGGTGCCGGACTCTGGACCTCCCGCACCCCCTCCAGTTGAATCCGACTGGGCGCCAATCATGGAGTTCACCGCGGCGGACATCTTTCAACACAAACCTTTTGGCGACATCTTAAGTTCGCTAAAGTACCTCTCGTTATCAGGAGAGGCCTGGCCGGACTGCGGCCAGGACGGTTGGGATGCGGACGACGAAGAAATTCAGAGCCCACCCACCACCCACTTGGTAGCCACTGTCGACGATCTAACCGACATGCTAGATTACGACTCTGAGGACATCGACGGTATGGACGACGATGCCGGAGACGACCAAGAACCAGCGCCCACCGGGCACTGGAAAGCCACCTCTTCATACGACATATACATGGTGGATATCTCAAAGGATGGGAACGGCGAAGGAATAGCGGAGGATGACCCCTCCAAGAAACAGCCCAAGCGCCGGCGTCAGCGGCGCCGCTCTAAATCCCGCCATAGCAAGAATGAGGATTCCGGCACCGGAGACAATAATACACCGGATAGCGCCGAAGACAACCCACTCCAGCAAGATCCAGCACAGGAGGAGGGGGACACCAGCCCTCATGAGAGGGCGGCCGAAGAAGAGGTAGAGGACTATATGCCTCCCTCCGGAGACGAGGCAAGCCTCGACGACGACGAATTCGTCGTGCCTGAGGATCCCGTCGACCAGGAGCGTTTCAAACGCAGGCTTATGGCCACGGCAAACAGCCTCAAGAAAAAGCAGCAGCAGCTTAGAGCTGATCAAGATCTGCTAGCCGACAGATAGACCGAAGTCCTCGCGGCCGAAGAGCATGAACTCGAACGCCCCTCCAAAAGCTACCCCAAACGTAAGCTGCTCCCCCGATTAGAGGTGGAGGCACATGATCCCGCTTCACCAGGAGACAATACGGCTGATCGACCACCCCGTGGTCGCGACAGAGAGGCCTCAAGGCCCTTCAATAGACCCGTACCCCGGCATCGCTCGAAAAGCACAAGGCCACAGGGGAACACTCCGGACCTGCGCGACATATTGGAGGATAAGGCAAGACAATCAAGATCAATCTATGGATCACGTGGGCGCCCCACGATACGTGACGATCACCATCACCCTAGACACAGTAACTCCGACCGGGCCGAACACAACAGACAAAGCTCTTTTGAGGTCCGTCGCGATATCGCCCAGTACAGAGGCGCTGCACACCCACTGTGCTTCACAGATGAGGTGATGGATCATCAAATCCTAGAAGGGTTTAAACCCGTCAATATTGAATCTTATGATAGCACAACAGACCCCGCGGTTTGGATCGAGGACTATCTCCTCCACATCCACATGGCCCACGGAGACGATCTCCACGCCATCAAATATCTCGCACTCAAACTTAAAGGACCAGCCCGGCACTGGCTTAACAGCTTGCCAGCAGAGTCAATCGGGAGTTGGGAGGACCTGGAAGCCGCATTCCTCGATAACTTCCAAGGCACGTACGTGCGACCACCAGATGCAGATGACCTAAGCCACATAATTCAGCAGCCAGACGAATCGGCCAGACAATTCTGGACATGGTTCTTAACCAAGAAAAACCAAATCGTCGATTGTCCGGATGCCGAGGCCCTCGCGGCCTTCAAGCATAACATCCGTGACGAGTGGCTTGCCCGGCACCTGGGACAGGAAAAGCCGAAATCCATGGCAGCCCTTACATCACTCATGCCCCGCTTCTGTGCGGGCGAGGACAGCTAGCTAGCACGCAGCAACAACCTCAAAAAAAATTCTGGCAGTCCGGATATCAAGGACCGTAGTGGCAGGTCGCGTCGCAACAAAAACAAACGCCGCATTAACGGCGATAATAGTGAGGATACGACAGTCAATGCCGGATTCAGAGGCTCTAAACCCGGTCAACGGAAAAAGCCATTCAAAAGAACAACTCAGGGTCCGTCCAATTTGGGCCGAATTCTCGGCCGCTTGTGCCAGATACATGGCACCCCTGAAAAGCTAGCTAACCACACCAATAGGGACTGTTGGGTGTTCAAGCAGGCAGGCAAGTTAATTGCCAAAAACAGCGACAAAGGGCTACATAGCGACGACGAGGAAGAGACCCGACCGCCGAACAATAGAGGACAGAAGGGTTTCCCCCCACAGGTGCGGACGGTGAACATGATATATGCCACGCACATACCCAAAAGGGAGCGGAAGCGTGCACTCAGGGATGTATACGCGATGGAGCCAGTTGCCCCGAAGTTCAATCCATGGTCCTCTTGCCCGATCACCTTTGACCAAAGGGACCACCCCACCAGCATTCACCATGGTGGGTTCGCCGCATTGGTTCTAGACCCAATCGTCGATGGATTTCATCTCACCAGAGTCCTG